TTCTTCCACTTTTTGGTAGTTCTTAAAAAATGAGTTCTTCAGAGAACAATTTGTCCCCTATAGAGAACAAAAAATCTGAAGAACAAAAGTGTTGTTCTTCAGAAAGTGTGATCTTCATCTTTTGTGTGAAGAACACAAACCTTGTTGTTCAGTTTTTTGGAAGTTCTTGAAAAACCTGTTCTCTGAAGAACAAGTTGTCCCCTATAGGGATCAAAAAACTTAAAGAACAAAGATTCTTGTTGTACAAATCTTTAGAGAACACATATATGATCTCTATAGGGGACAAATGAAGATCATTTTTTTTGTTTTTTGAAGAACATATATTTTTAACAGTGTACTTAGAAATGTTTCTGTTTACTTAACTCTTACTGTGTTCAAAATGTAAAACTTTTTCTATCTATAGACTAGCGATAAGACTAGCGCAAGAACAGAGGAAAACTCCTTGAAGTCAAGAAATTTTAAATAATATAACAACATTGCTCGACTTTCTGTTGTATTTCTCATAATTTCTTGTCCCTATTTTAAATTCTTATTATTCGTAATCATAGTCTTCTTCCAATATAGTATAGAAGCTTACAAACCAAACAGGTAATTGCATTACGACTGTTGCCAGTTTAGTCAGTAAATGAAAAAAAGCAGTCAGCTGAAGGGAGAAAGAGAACAGAAAAGAGAGAGACATTTGCCACATGTATCATCGAACATAGTGCATATGCGAGAAGAGATATTTCCTTATTTACTATGTGTCCAATAAATAATGGTTATATATTTACTTTTCTTTGGTATGTGTAGTATGTAAAAGAAAATAAAGAATTTTCTATACAACGTGTGTTTTCGTTAATTACTATCTAGAAAAGACAAAGAAAAAAAAGAAAAGAAAGAAAAGAAAAGAGAGAAAAAGTAGGGCTCTACTCTACCTTTTTGCTCTGATCATTTGCTACCATCATAGACTAGGGTCAACGCAACAATGATCAATCCATATAATGTTGCACGAATCTTAACAAATTATATATCTAAGCTGTTAGCAGGACACTTATCAGGTTATAGTGCTAGGAATGAAGGAGTAGCAAAGCATTTATATGAAAATGTAACTTCTGTTCTAAGTAGTAGCGAGTATCGTTTTGACACGAACACACTTTGAATTTTTCACCTTCGATCTGCATTAACCACACTCTTCTAACCAGAATGCCTCCAAAGAAGAGGAGGCAACGGAAGATGACAACGACTACAATGAAATAGAGGCTCGCAGGTCATGCACAACCTGTCCTAACCTGTCTTGTCTTGACAGGTTTGGGCTACGAAAATGTTTACAGGACAGGTTAGTTGCAGGTTACATTACCCGTACCCTGTTTTCAATTTGTAAAAAATATATTAAGCGCCACCTGTAAAGGGGAAGAAATATGAACTCGAGAAATAGTTTTCAAGTCAAAAAATATATTTAATGCATCAGGAAGAGTATTGGAAACACGAAGACAGTCGTTGAATCCAGATGTTGTTGAGGATATATTATTGATCAGAAATTTCAAAGATCTTTTACTGTTGTTTTTTGCTGCATAAATAAAATAAATGAAAATAATTCACTTGATTAGGAAAAATTTTCGAACTTGGGTACTAATATTTTGCAGTAATTTTTTCACAGGACATGATAGAAGAGGTTACACAAAAAATATTGCAGGTTAGAACAAGTTACAGGTGACGAGGCATAAGGTTATGAAAGGTTGTAGGATGTTAAAATTTTTACAGCACAGGTTATGGGTTATGAAAAAGTTCTAACCTGCAGGATTCTACAATGAAAATGAAAAAAAAGAAAATAGTTTATTGCACCATTTCTCCCGAGAATAAAGTCGAATGAGAACACAAAAAGTATAGGTTAAATCTTATCATGCTTTTGCCTTTCTCGCTGGGTTCATGCGTTCTTTCCTAAAGATATCTTCAGTTTTCTTCACATTTTTTTATTCGGTTAAATCGATGCATATCAAGCAAGTCTCCTTCACGCATTTGATGAATGCCCGTCTCTCCGTTCTATAAACATCGTCGCCTCTATGTTGCCCACATCTGGACTCTCCGTTTCTCCTCTCCATTCATCAAAAGTGAATACGAATGCAATGATCATCTCCTTCTTCTTGCTGGCACAATCATGATATTTGTAATACATTTCATTATATCGTCTCATGACTTAGTGTGTTTGTACAATTTCTCATTCTTATTGTCATTCACAGACACAGAACATCGACCGTAAAGCAGACTGAAAGAATTCCAGATATCCCTTCCAACACAGTTTTGTCGCACATGAAACACTAATGTGTTCTTCTGCACATAACGCTGTGAAACATATTGAAAACAAATATGTTTTGAAGTGGACAACTTCTTTGTAATATAAGAAAGTTGCCTGTACGCATATTATATTCTACAGTTATAAACAAACTCGCCATCAGGTATTCTCGCACCTTCATATCCACAAAATGATATTGTTGCTGTTTCCAGAGAGTCAGATTGAAAACCCGATGTACGGCCATGTCTGTTGAGAGCAAGGGACTAACGCAGTTGCCACCAGATAGGTCAGGTTTTTAAGCTTTATGCTAATAAGTAACTTGCAAAAAAGATTTTTCTTCAACTCGTCTGCAAAAAAACTCCAGCCAAATCTATTTCGACTCCATATGAAATGGCCATATTATGTTATATCAGAGGTGATTCTATCATAAACTGTAAAATCGAGTTTTGATTTAATATTTTTTCATAAAACCTAATTTTTGAATATTTGTAAAATCGAACTTAGCTTTATAATTTTGATTGTATAAATTTGAAAATATCCCCGAATATTTCTTTTCTAGAGAATCCTCAATTATTAAGTATGCGCACATCTCTAAAATCGAAAACGGGAATTATTTAATATGAATTATAAAATCGTTCCGGTTCTACAATTCACTCTTTTGAAAACTTTACGCTAAAGAAATTAATAAGTAAGAAAAGAACGCAATTTCACTAAGGAGAAGCGTTATTGTGTGAATCAAAGAATGAAAGAAAATGAAAATTCTGCTATCATAAAACTATTTTGTCTTCGTCACGTTAGATGATTTCATTGGACCACTGCGAAATTAGCGAAAACAAAAAATTCTCGTTAATTTTTTAGATAAAATGCCGTATATATGTATTAATATAAAACCAGATCGATTTTTAAGCTAACAAAAAACGCGCATTTTTTTCAAATTTGTTTTTTAATGTTCACGAAACCCGTAACAGTTTTACATTATTTTAGACATCGCCAATGATTTTATAAGAGCCATAAAATGGAACATTCTCTAAAAGCGACACGATTTTATAAGCACTCTAAAATGAGCATTTGACGTTTTCTTTACAAAGTTAACATATTATGAAAGCTTCGTAATATTCAGGGATATTATAAACGATTTCTATAACATTATGAAATAGTTAGAATTAGCAGTATACATGTAATCACTGTTATTTGTCCATACGGCGTCATGTTATCAAGTGATTAACAAACAAATCAACTTGACTTTCCAGTAAAACGATCAAATAACTATCCAAAAAGCCACGAAAAAACATAAATCAATACAAGATCGCACACTCCGCAAGAACGTGATAATTGTAAATGCATCACAAATGATCATCAGAGGAGATCATGTGGTTTGTTGTTAAAAAATTATACTGTTCTTGTGTTTCAAATATTCCTTGACAGAAAATGACTGAGAAAGACTCGATTTTCTTCCTTTTCTTTGAGCACAATTGTACCTAAAATGAGAAGAAGAAGACGACTACAGTCGAAAACAAAAAGTAGATGACAAAGGTGTTTCCTTCTCTTTCTTTTTTCTCTTTTCAGCTCTGTTTTTGCCATAAAGAATTGTCATAAGGAGAAGGACACTGCCATAATTTTTTTCTTTAATTAATAGCAGTTTGTTCACGCAGATTGAATGTTGAATTAGAAGTGAATTCTACTGTTTCTAGCTAAATCAACGTCATTATCCATATTTGGACAAGAACCTAACATGGAAATGGTACAACCAGACGCTGCTACTGCAGCATCATCGTTCTCTGACGCCCTGCCAAACACCGAGGAAACACCCGAAAAGCCGTCCTCACCACCATCTGTTATGAAAAAAAGCAAATGGGCAGTCGTCAAAACTGCAAATCATCGTATTTTACCTCAACACTCGATTGGAGCGGTCAAACTACGCAACATCATCGAGGAACTCAATAAAATTTCAGTTGAAGAACGAGGAGTTCCGGAAGACAATGGAATATCAGTGATGGACTCCTGGAAGTGGGTTCGACAGTCTCGCCGACGTTTAGCGAATTTTGTTCAGCAGCCTAAATTCCACTATACTATTATTATACTGATTATCGTCGATTTGATGATAGTGTTTGTCGATTTAGTTCTCGGTATGTTGCCAACAATGTTCCTGCTTATGAACGATAGAAAACTTTACACTACTACCAGCTCAAAAGTGAGCGGATATGAGCCCAGAATCGATGATATGTAGATCTAAAAAGTCGCAGATAGTTGCCCTTGGTGATGGATCTACTTCGTAACACTGCACTACAGTGATCTTGAGTCAGTTCGCGGAAAGTTCTATCGAAATTTGGTTTATCTTCTTATACTAGTCTGCTCTCTGAAACACGCGTGTTTGAACATCTTACACATTTTAAGATCTTGTCTTTTAAACGACGAAAAGCAGCACTTGTTTGCTAGGGATGTAACGGTTTGTTCAACTCAGGACCAAAGTCACCATTTCTTACCCAATTTTATTATTTTGTTGCTATCTCCAAAACAAAATTCACCTTTTGTTTTATTCTAAATCGATACTAATAACGCTTTTGTGTTCAGCACAATTATCATTGCCGTGTCTAAGTGATGAAGAAATGGAACTTTACAATACAACCGAACAGCGAGATGAATGTCTACTCGAAACTTCGATTGATCTACAGCGTGGCGAATTATTCCTTTACTATTTTTCTGTTGCGCTACTTAGCATATTTTTGCTCGAAGTTTTTATTTCTTTCTACGCTTTTGGATGGCGTCACTACAAGAATCCGCTTTATTTGCTCGATGCCGCCATTGTATTTGCCTCCTTTATCATGGAACTCTACTTTCATTTTGGAAATGTTGGCAGAGCTGGACGAGCTGCTGCGGCTTTTGTCGTATTGCGTCTATGGAAAATTGTTCGAGCTATTCACGCTATTGCTCATTCGATATCGCTCAAAAACCGTATACTCATTAACAAAATTGAAGATGCTCGAACAATACTGAAAGAGGAAAAAGAGCAAGCCGAAAAGACACTTGAAAAACAAGAAATCAAAATCGAGTATCTCATGAACTTGCTGAGAAAGACCAGGAAGCTGCCTACTCCAGAGCAAATCGATGCATATGTGGAGAATGCATGGCAAGAAAGGACAAAAAATGATGCAAGATCCATGGTCGATTAAAGCAGTGAACACCGCTCACATATGACTCGATCGTTTATGATTTGAATGCGGACTGTGCACACCTTGTACCTTGTTAGTAATGTCCGGTGATAAAAGAGAAACATCGAATGTGACTCCAACTCAGTGCGACTAAGTAACACTGAAACGCTCTAAAAATGATAGTTTTTCCGGCATGTTTTCATTTCCGAGAGACTGTTAGGTGTCCGAGTGTTTTCATTTGAAAAACTGAACAACAACGGCAAACTCTTTAATAATGACGGATTTTATTATCGATATATATTTTTTTTCGCCGAGGACCTCAGTCTCGATCACAGAATATGGCGTTTAAGCTGCAAGAATGACACGTTATTGGGGTGTTGAAGACAGAAATCAGTAACATGTGATACAGTTCTCGAGGAGAACCTGAAACTCAGTCACTTCCATGAAAGCCAAAAATTCTAAGAGGATTTCGCTTCTCATCGTTTTTCTTTAATTAATTTTAAGCGTGACTGAACTGAGCTTACGGTTTTTTACATGTTTTTTGGATGGAGCTAATAGATAGATTTCTGCAAGCGCTCTTCTTACCTGTATAACTTCCCATATCTGAAGACGAGTTACTGTAGTCATGAGGATCATTTTGGGTCATATGCCCCTTATAGGTCTCATCATCTGGAAATATGATTTGAGAAGACCTCTTCATTATGAGCTTGATCTATAGACCTCGATACACTCGTTATCCCAGAAATATTGAAAAAATATGTCCCCAACAATACATTAAGTTCAACACAGAAAACACAATCAGGTTGATATATTTCTAAGTTGAAAAGATCAGTTTTCTAGCTAAACTAAGTTGTATGCAACATTCGTTTTCTTATTCAAAATACATTCAAAAAAATAACAGGCATTAATAAGAAATAACTTGTCAAGTATTTATAAATAAGAAACGGACATAATAGAAAAAATCATCAGGGTTTTTACTGGCGGTATAGTACAACAGAACACGAAAGAAACATTTAGTATAGTCTTTATTCCATCTAACGACAGTATAAATTTCAGCTATTTTTTTCTTGTTAGTAGCATAGTTACTTATTAAAGCCTCCACTTTTATTTACGTTGAACAATGAAGGTTACGAACTAAAAAGCGTCATATAAACTTTGTTCCTAATTTTGATGTGCAAACTACTTCATGTGTAGTCAATTCCAATTATAATTCTGCAGACATGCAGAACTATAACGTATCTTTAAATTCTTTTTCTGTGACTAGGTGTAGCTGTCACTTTTAATGTGAGTGTGATAATTTTTTCTTAGTGTTTTTTCATTTAAATAACCTACACAAAGTTTTTCTTTCTCCACTCTGTTTCTTAGGCATGAAAAACATCATGTTTTAAAATGGAATATTTAATTTCTTTCACTTTTTTTATAACGGAAACGTGTTGATTTGAAAAAAGTATCCACGTATGACTTGCACAGGAAAAAAAGAAAATATAATTATATTTTCTTTCTGTCGGCTAATCATAATTAGCTTAATTAATCTGTAGTTTTGTTAGCTCTTTTCGAATCTTTGATTGATGCATATATTATCCACTATAACTTCGAATAATTTTAGAAATATGTTGTCGTTATAATATGTTGTCTAGCACAAATTTCGATTTTTTAGAATAGTTTTCATTTTCCTCGAACTTTCGTCACTTCCAGCGTCGGTAGTACACATCGTATGCTCTGTTCAAGTACGACAGCTGATAGAGTATTCGAGTCAATGGGGAAATAGCTGATTTTGGGATTTTTCCGATTTTTTGTGATTTGTTTGGGAAATCAAGTAAAGAGACTGCGGTAAATAGCGCGGAGTCTGCTTTATTTGTACAAAATGGGAATCAGAGATAGTGAAAATAAAGAAAAAAACGATAAAATCATCAGCGATTTTTAGAGATTTTCGATTTAAACTGATTTTTTGAGTTCAAAAATCATCTATTTTCCTCTTCACTCGAGTACTGCTGATAATCAAAAAACCGCGAGAAACTAGGCGTTACGGCGGATCAATGTTTTTTATTAACCGCGAGCCAAGGCTTAAAGTCGGCTAAAAGCGCGGTTGCACTCGTTTCTTTTGAGAATCGCGTTCAGCCGTAACGCCTACTTTCCCGCAGTTTTAATCGTAACCGTTTTTCACAGCGATTGCAATAATGTATCCGGGTGGACCGCGGTTGCGTTTAAGACCGCGAGAAATCAGGCGTTACGATTGAACGCGATTCTCAAAAGAAACGAGTGTAACCGCAGTTTAGTCCACTTTAACGATAGCACGCGCTTTTGAAAACAAAAGGATTCATCGCGGTTTCGTGCCAACCGCGGTGATGATTGGTCTAATTATAATCAGCTCTTTTTTTCAGTCTTTGATTGGCGGATATCGCTACCCACCAATCTACTTCCAATTGGTCTCAAGTAGAAAGTTGATAAGATCTTATCCACTGATTAGAAGTAGAAAAAAATTTCAAAAATTTTAAAACTGTGATGTCTTCGTATGTATATTATCTCGCATAAATTCCGCTTTTTTCGAATAGCTTTCATTTTCTCGGAGCTTTCGTCATTTCTACCTTCAACTATACACGTTGTATGCTCCGTTCAAGTACGACAGCTGATAGAGTAACTCGAGTACTACGAATAATCAAAAAAGGAATTGCAGACAGTGCGTTGTCGCCGCGATGGCCGAGGGCCAAAAATGTTCATATCGTCAATAACTTACATTGTACATGAGTTATTTGCAACTTTATTGTACAACTGGTGAAAAATAATGAAAGTGACTTTAAACAAAATTTGATTAGCACATCTTGTTCTCCGTTATTTTCTGAGTCTAGAACCCAAATTTCCCGACTACCACATGTGTAGCGACTGAGATAAACCTAAACAAACTTCGACAGGTTCCATTCTCTAGGTTTTAAGCTATAATGATCTCCAGGTTGCATTAAAAACGGATATGTCATATACCATTCGATAGGTCTCGTACACATACCATGTGTAACATAGTCTGACCTGTACAGCAAACGTTAGATCGTTAAAACCCTAATTTTGAATGTGTATTCAAAAATAAAACGTAAAACTTCTACCCTACAGGTGGTCAGCCACTTTGGAGAAACTCGATATCGAAACTACGTAAATTTCAGGCATTTCGAAATTCACAGAGATGTCTGCTCGGAGATAGACTCGCGCTCGGACAAAGTGAGCCTTGTCCGAACGACGATAAATGGAGAGCTGGGACCTGCATAATTTTGTAGAGTGACGTCCGACTATGTACGCATGCAAAAAGTTACTAACTTTGTATGTTAGTTTTCTAAGAACGGAGCTGATTTTCCAGAGATCCTCTGGAAAACCGAACTTTCAGAAACTTTTGAAAGAAGTTTCTGCT